TTGATAATCTAAATGGTAAAAATAATAAATAATGAGTTCCATAAAATAAGCCACTAAGCCACAAAAATAGGTATAAACACGTGTATATATATATATTTAATAAGCTGTCATAAGTATAATTAAAATGTTATTGTTATAAATAAAAAGAGTTTGAAACTGTTTAGGAGAGAGAATATTTGATAATTATTAATATCCTAATTATACTCTATATAAAAGGCACAAAATACTAATAGTATGAGAGAGAAAAATATGTAAAACAAAATTAAATTAAATACAAAAATTAAATGTTTGTTATGTATGTAATTTAAAAACTTAGTTTGTAATTAAATATAAATATATTGATATTTTGTTAATAAAAGTCTTAAGTAGTATATTTTTGTAATTTTTCACAATATTTATTCTAAATAAAGTACTAAATAACTCCTTTTGTTAATCAATTACATATACAGTAAAAGCTCATTAAATTAATACTCGATTAATTAATAGTCTCTCAAAAATAATATTTCTCCGATCCCGACTTAGCCAATGGAAAAAATCACCAATTTCGATAAGTTAATAAGATAATATATTTTCAGAAGACCCCTATATAAATATATGGTCTCATTAATATTATAAATTAATAATTCTTTAAAAGTACAATATATCTAGCTAAAACAATTTAGTGAAATATGATTCTATTGTTTTCTGTTTCTTCTTAAAATTTAAATCTAGTTGAAACTCATCTCTAACTTTTCTTATTGTATCCAAAAGTTTCAGTGTTGTCTTTTCGAATTGCACCATAAAATTGTGAAGAGTTCTTGATGCGCTAAATGCTTCCTTACGTGTAACCGGTTGCAAATGTATTGTATCATCTTCAACTTTATCATCAACATTATTTTTTCCAATGGTATCCACAATTTCTTCTAAGCTCTATACCATTTAATATGTATCATTTTCACTCATCCAATAGGTTATTAACGTCCATTTTATTGTGGTAATTGAAATCATAAATCATGATCTTAAGTTCATGAATGGTGTTTTCACAAGTGGATTCATTCAAATTCTCTAAGATTTCATCTTTGAATGACTTTTACAGTGTCGAATCACTCTTTAAATTAATAAACATTAATTTATCAAATCTTTGAATGACTTTTACAGTGTCGAATCACTCTTTAAATTAATAAACATTAATTTATCTATTAAATAATAATTCTACAAAATAATAATATTTCATGATCCCACCTATATTAATTTTAATACATTTCAATCAAAACAGAGTTGTCAAATATATATATATATTATGTAACTATATACTTCCATATAATATTCAATATTTCGATATGTTGTTTCTAAATACCAAATATTGTATCGAATACAAAAAAAAAACATTAAAATATATACCATATATCATATCATATATACCATATACCATAATACCAACATCACAGTATAAAAGATTTCAATATCATATGCTATTAGGTATTACTATATCATGTCCATCCCTACTTGTATCTGTAGACCATATTTTATCTTTATCAGCATTCAATTAACATTTTCAAGAAAAAAAAATATAAAAAAAAATAAATCTCGAATCCATTTTTTAGATCTATTTGTTTTACAGATAGATTTGTTGGATTAGAATGTTTGACTGGAAACAGTAGTGCTAGATCACATATTTATCACCATCACTACCCATCCTTCTATATTGCCCACAAATTTTGGATAAGTTAGTTGAGTGGTGGATAAAATACTACTTGGCAATATTTCTGCTAAGATTGATAAATTGCCCATTCTCTGCATCTGAGAATTGCTATGTCATGAATGTTCAATTATGCCTGCCCATAATCATATACAAATAATTACACAGTAATATAGGTGAAACAGCTGATTCTGCATCAATAAAAGATAAGGAGTCATAGTGGTTCCTTATCATTGTTGTGGTAAGTAATTACCACATATAAAAGTTGTACTTTTGAAGCACAAATCAAGTACTGTGTTTTCACTCTTCAACTTACAATTTATTTACCTCTCTACATATGTTTGTGTCTATAGCAATTAATTTTGAGAAGTAATAAAGTCAGTAGTATCAGATTGAGCTAAACTTCAATAGTATTTGGCAGATTTTCATAGATTATGAGGTGTATAACTCACTCATTTCATTTCACATGTTATAGATATAAATTCACTAATTTTCACGTCCACGTGATAAGTAAAGAAAGAGAGTTACAAAAATGGAGGCATTCCCTATCAACCTTGTCTGCTAACTAGAGAAAAATTAGAGGAGAAAACGAAGCTATTCTCCTAAAAGTGCTTACCAGGAACAAATAAGTATATGCTGATGGCTGACTGAAAGTTAAGCCCCACCAGCCATGTCCATATCTGTAACTCCAACCATTCCCTTGAAAATAACACGTAATTTCCTAGAACATGACTGCTTTTTATCTCCTTTTCCCGCTGCACCAGTAACATGAACGATGTCCCTTGGAGTTTTACCCATAAGCTCAAACAATGGTAAATCCAAATTAGATCGAGTCATCTCTTCCAGTACTGGAGGTGCTTGCATGTATAGATTCTTCCCTCGATACGTCACACTTACTCTAGTTAGTAGTAGCTTAGGGTGATCTTCAAGGAGATCAATGAACTGCACAACACCAGAAAGAGAGAAAATCTTATGCATTATTAGTTGTATCACCAACCAATTAGTTTATTACCCTTTTGTTGTGGTGGAGTGTTTGACAAGCTCAAACAAGAAGAAGAAATCGACACAAAGTTAAGTCCATCAAATTAGATGGTCTTTACGCTGATGACAAAAAGACATTTAAATCCACAATATATGGCATCTTCTCATGAGATTTTTATGGCAGATAACTCAATGTATCAGAGAGAGTAATTCTAAAAGTTCTTTTAACACGTACCGACTTTCAAACAGAAAAAATATGTGAATGAGATGCAGCCCACAGTCACAGATTCTTCCACACATTTAAAGGGCAAAGCTGCGGGAGTAGTGAACTCAAACAGAATCATAAATATTACTG